ACAAATTTTGGAATTCATGGGGTGTCCTGGAACCAAACCCAGCAGATGGATACCAAGAGTCCACTGTACACTCTCAGCTGAAGTACTGTATTTTCCGGCGTATAAGACGACCCGGTGTATAAGACGACCTCCCATTTTTCCAGTCAAAATATAGAGTTTTAGCACCCCATATCCTCCTTATCCTTATTCCCGCCGTATAAGACGACCCCCCCCCACTTTAACCACAGATTTTTCAGGTTAAAAAGTAGTCTTATACGCAGGAAAATAAGGTATTTAATTTTGCCCCATCAGAAGACCCCAGCTGCTGTCCAAAAGCTTGTCTAAATAAACTGATATTTGCCTGCAGTTGAAAGGAAAGAACAGAGGGGGGTCAGCCTAGCCTGACCACAGACTGGGAATAGGCAGGAGTTCGAGGCCCTTTCACTTGTGATGTGTGTGATGGTAGTAGTGGTCACAAGAAAAAACCTTCCCAAGGGATGTCAGAACATGAACAGTTCCATGCTGGGATAGTCTGGACCCAAGTAATATGGCTTATTTGTCATAGACACTGTAGCCAAATGTAGGCACATGAAGAATATATGTGCATTTTCCTGTGCACTCTGACAAAGGACATCTCCACATACTGAGACAGCCCATCAAAAAACAGTCAGTTGACACAGGATTTTTCACTCCAAATAAATAGTAAAATGACCAGTGCTCTTTTTCATTTTTTATGTGTCTTGTTTGCCATGCAAATGAAATTTTCATATTGCTTTTAAAAAAGACGTTTGTATTTCTATAGTGCATCTGCCTCCTTTTTATCTATCTATATATCAAAGGCTATCAGTAACAAGGTTTTGTGTGTGTTTGTGTTTGTGTGTGGGGGGAGGAGATCAGTAAATGCATTTAAAACAATTTATAAACATTTAAATAAAATTTGGACTAGGAGTCTGGAGACAAGGGTTAAAATCCCAATTCGGCCATGGAAACCCACCAGGTGACCTTAGGCCAGGGGTAGGCAACCTGTCCCCTTTAAGGGCCGAGGGACTTCAGCTCCCAGAAGCCTCAGCCATGTTGGCCAATAGCCCCATGTTAGCCAATAGTTCCTGGGATTCTGAGAGCCGAAGTCCCTCGGCCCTTAAAGGGGAAAGGTTGCCTACCCCTGTCTTAGGCAATTCACACTCTCTCAGCCTCAGAGGATGGCAAAGGAAACCCCTTCTGAACAAATCTTGCCAAGAAAACCCTATGATAGGTTCATCTTAGGGTCACCATAAGTTAGAAAGTACATGAAAGCACACAATGACAAACAAAAAAAGGACTGAGTGCTTCTCAACCATTGCAGTTCCTTTGCACTTTTCATTTTGGTGGCCCAAATACTAAAAGCTTTGAACTTTGTACCTACTTTTAAAATACTACCTTATAGCTTTGTGAATAGTCAGATGGAGGAATGTCAGTTCAATTGCCATGCACAATTCTGTTATTTTCTACAAGGGAACTTAAGAAATGCTGCTCTTTTAAGTCTCAATTGCCAGACAAATAGTTATTTCAGCAGATAGGTTGGCTTTCACGCTCCCATTATTTGTCCCATTATCTGTCAAGAAGGATCACAGAAAAGGAAAAAACCCTCAATATAAAAGGCATATAAACTGCCAGCCAAAAATCAGTTAGAGGGACGTGAGGCCAATTCACTGATTTCAGTTCTTGCAAGTCATAGTCCTGTGCTGAGCATTGCTAGCCTACCTTGTTGACAGAACAAGAGAACATCATGATCTGTGGGGGTGCCATAGGAAAATGTTATACAGATTAGAGTGAAACATAAATGCTTTCCTCCTCAGGGTTCTGAGGAAACCTTCAGCTGAAATTGTTGTGTGGGATGCTCCTGTGCAGACTTGCTCCAACTCTCGTATGCCATAAAAGAGCAGGAAGCTCCAAGATAATTGCAATGTAGTATGGAAATGAAATTTGAGCAGAGCCAATGGCATGTCTAGAACAGCCTCAAGATGTTTTCACTGCTTTTTGAAAGCCAGAAATAAAAAAGGAGGTAATGAGGGACATATTGTGCAATCATTTATGTAAAATGTTGTCTTGTGCTATCGGTGGAAGGTCTGTCAGTTCTTGAGGAGAGACTGGAAAATCAATTAGATGGGCTTGTTTATAGTGGTTATATGATCTGAACTGCATGAGGGGACCATATAAATACTGCACTTAGGATGTTAAAACTGGGTTTCTCTTGTGGTTATAAAGATTGCATGTTTTTCTGCTCATGTCAAGGTGAAGTGGCTTTAGTGATCTCATTTTGGTTCACATGAGATGTTTATCGTTCTTTTTTTCTTAAACCCTCATGATGCAGTTTTTGGAATATTTCTGAAAACCAATTTTAAACAGAAGCCCAGTAGTGGGATAGTGGTGAAGAAGGGTTGTTGGCATGTCTATAAAATACACTGTGCACTTCAAAAATATAGTCTGGTTAGTATAATGTATAGGAAACTATTATAGCAGAAATTTTTTTGGAACACAGATGACCGTGAGAGCCAGCCATTAATTTCTGTTGTATCAGGATACATGTGTGCAATAGTCAGCAAGTGCAAAAAAGAAGTGTATTTTGAGACAGAATGCAAGAAGGAGACTTGTCTGCCACCCTTAGAAGAGTGTTAGTGAAACCCATTTAACTGCTGAATTTCTACAAAAAGTGCTGTAGGATTTCAGGTCTAGTTCTACCACAATATATAGATCCTTTCCATACACACCACAACCATTTGATCTCCCGAGCAGTAACCATAGGGCTAATTTGGGCTGGGAATTATAGAGCCTTCCAGATGGTCTTGTACTGCAAGTCCCATCAGACGTATCTAGCAGGCTTAACCAGGTGGGGAATGCTGGAAATTACATTTCAACAGCATCTGGAGGGCTCTGTAATTCACACTTCTGGGCTAAATCCAATGTTAGTCCTATCCAAAGGTGACACACGGAAATTAATATTCTTTTGTTAATCAGAACTGACTTAGCTCCCAATGTTTTCAGTGTGTTTATTCTGTTGCAGTCCTTATGTTGTATTTAGCCTCTTGACCCCACCTGATAGCTCATTGCAGAAAAGAGTTCCACTGAAAATAACAGCCATAAATTCCCATAACATTTACATTCTGTCTTCTGAGCCTCATGGCAGAAAATTTCCTTGGCATCACTATAATCAAAGACCCTTGAATCTCAGGCTTGGCTTGTCCCTGCTGGCTGCCATGGTGCCAGCATTCTCCACTACCAGTTGGTCTTTCCCCAAACCAGGAAGGGAGGTGCCTGTAGGAAAGACTTCTATAGGGAGCATGCAACAGTATAGTATTATCCAATCTAGGGGTGCATCTCCACTGTAAAAATAATGCAGTTTGACACTTCTTTAACTGCAATGGCTGAACCATACAGGTTTTCAGCTATGTGAGGCACCAGAACTCTTTCACGGAGAAGGCTAAAGAACTTGTAAGACTACAGATCCCAGGATGGAGCTACATCACTTAAAGTAGCATCAAACTGCATTATTTCTACAGTGCAGATGCACCCTAGATGTTGCTATTTTTCTGAGTATGTCAGATTACTGTTGGAAGAACCTACTACTGCCAGAACCATTCCTACTTTCTCTCAGAATTGATGAAAACTTTTGCTACTGTTCGAAGCTTTTCCCAGGTAAAATAAAATGCCAGAGGGATCGCTTTTTGAAATGTATGAAAACCTGAGCAAAAGCACTCCCCTGCCTACACATGCACTCACTCCAGCTCAAACTTAATTATCTTAGGCCATACTTCAAAGGTTTTTAGTATTTTATACTTATGCCAAGTAGCAGCAAATGAGGATTAGCCCTGGAGGTGAATTAATCTCAGAAAGTATTTGCAGTGGTGGGATCCATAGATTTTGAAATGACTTGTTATCAAATAAGAGAAATAAAAAGATGCTGTGGTATGCAAAATAGCATACTTAAAGGTAGGGTGTGGAAAACCTACAAACATGTGAAAATATTAATTGGTTGCTCTTCTTTAAGCTAAGGAGAACTAAAGGCAAGATCTGAATGGAAAAGCAGATAAATGTTGGCCAAAGGACAACTCACACCCTTCACATAATAATAAATGTAGAACTCATGGCTAAGATTTTGCATCAGACATATAGCCCAAATACTGTAGCTCCATTGTAACTCCTCACCCGAAACCTGAAGCCCACCTTAAAATCCAGCTGAGCCAAAAGTCAGCCTTCCTGAGTAATAGAGGTTGATGCTGTTGGCAAGGAGGGTGCTGCAGGATCACATAGCCAGCCACCTTCTTCCATTGAGTGAGACTGTGATAAATAGTTATGAGAAGTCCCTGCAAAAGACTCTGCTTTTGCTCACTGGAACATCACTTGCTGGCAGCATGGGGCTGACCACATCCACACAGATGTCATGGCTCAGGATGGTGACTGGGTTTCAAGGTCATTTGTGTTCATGAACATAATGCCACAATCACAAATGAAGATACAAAGCAGTTAACAATGTCCTGGGTTTAACTTCAGACATCATAATTCACTAATAGGGTGACAGATAACATCTCCCTATAAGAGAGCATATGCTGGATGTGAGCCTCCATGTTGGAGTCTCAGCATTGTGTGGTGAAGGACCAGTCTTAGATCAGATAGGTCTTCAAATCCCCCACTTCAAAAATTTTAAAACAAAAGGAAACAAAAACCAGACACTGTATAAGCCTGACCCAGATACTGTCTCTCAGCCTAAACCGCCTCAAGTGTGTGTGAAGACACATGCTGTCTTGAGTGATTTGTAGATAGAATACAATAAATGTAACATACAAATAATAAGGTATATATTTTAATATACATTTTCATGGATATATTCTGGAAGTTTGTTGTTGTTGTTGTGTGCCTTCAAGTCATTTCTGAATTATTGGTAACCCTATTACGGGATTTTGTTGGCACGATTTATTCAGAGGAGGTTTGCCATTGCCTTCCCCTGAGGCTGAGAGCATGTGACTTGCCCAAGGTCACCCAGTGGGTTTCATGGCTGAGCTGCTAATTGAACCCTGGTCTCCAGATTCACAGTCCAAAACTCAAACCACTATGCTACACTGAATTTGATTTTTTTTTTTAACGGCCTTGCCTTTTACAGATGGAGTTAACTAGCTATGAAGTGTTTCAATTTTTTAGATCTGTGTGTCTCATAATTATGGAATTCATTCAGTTTTAATGTTAAGACTTGTTCTGGCAGAGTGGGATGGGCTGAAAATCTAACTAAAACCAAAATAAAAATAAAGTTCTGAGTGTTAGCAGAGGAAACGCAAGGCAGAAAGAGCTTGTTTAAGTACATTGGCTAGTCTAACTCAACATTGAGGTCTGTTTCCAGGGACTCTCTACTGTGTTACATATGTACCCTTTAGCAGGACTAGGGCTGGTAATACCATTGTGGCTGTGTCAGCAGCTTTATAAAGCCAATGGTTGGACTGATTGTTCTGTAGAAAGTGTAGTCTTAAATAACCAAATATAACAAGGGAAGCGCCATCTGTTTGGAGAGAAAATGTGCAATGTTCAGGATGGCTTCCAAAGTGGTAACTTTATCTTGTGATGGAACAGAGGTGCTAAGAAAGCTTCTCTTGCCTGGTCTAGCAAAGACATTGTAGTATGGAAATTATCTGGATTTATCAAACTATTTTTGGACATCCAGCAAAAATCTTATCTACAACCATGTTTTCTTCTTAGAAACAGTCAGTTGTTGTCCTGAAGGAGACCTATTGCTTACAGGTGGAGAACATTAAGAACAGGAAAATGTTTCTATTTTTTTCACTTTCTTGACATTTGACTTTTTCTTTTAAAAGAAAAATCCCAAATTCTTTCTGCCAAAACATATGATTTTTTTTTTTTTTTGTAAATCCTTGAAAAATGAACTGGAATTAAATTCTCTTCAGTTGTGTTCCAATTTAATGGCTAATCCCAGTTTAGAGACAACCATGTTGTACCTGCTTACTATACAGGTGTTAAAGAGGAAGAATTTCTCAGAAATGCAAGGTAGCAACCTCAATTCAGCACCATAGACATAACTTCATACATAGAGATTCAATTGAAATTTTAAGAATTAAGCACTCATGGATTTGGGCAAAAACACACGAATCATTGAGTTTCACTAACTTCTCAGTATGAATCTGCTTATGGGGGAATTTGTGATTAAATTTTGGCCTGTTCAAAGAACTAAATCAAAATTCTCACCAATGCCTATATGCTCTTTGCTGAGAAATGCCACAGTTTGATCCCTATCATAGTTGGAGATTGAAATTTAGTTAAAAAGATCATGTGGCAGATATTGTGAAGAAACCCAGCCTGAGAGTCCAGACAGTCACTAATGAGATAAATGGACCAGTGAGGTAACTCAGTACAAGGGAGATTCCTATGTTTCACATTACAGTCCAGTGTTAAAACACTGGTGCGGTTCATCTTTGTTGCTGTGTGCCTTCATGTTGGCTTTGTCTTATGGCAACCCTAAGGTGAAACTGTCATGGGTTTATCTTGGCAAGATATGTTCAGAAGAGGTTTGCCATTGCCTTCCTCTGAGGCTGAGAGCATGTGACTTGCCCAAGGTCACCCAGTAGGTTTCATGGCTGTGCTGGGAATCAAATCCTGATCTCCAGAGTTGCAGTTCAACACTCAAACCACTGTGCCACACTGGCTCTTGTGTTTCATCTACATTTTCTAAAAATTAGAATTATTCCCTGACCACTTTGGCCAGAGCTTGTAGTCCAATCTATTTACTGAAGGCCAGAGGTTAAATTGTGCTGAATTCAATGAGACTTTCCCTCAAGTGACTGTGCAAAGAAAGGGTGGGAACTGTATCTCTTAGCCAGCATCTGCACTGCAGAAATAATCCAGTTTCACACCAGGGATTAATTGCCATGGTTGAATGCTATGGAATTCTAGGAATTGTAGTTTGTTGTGGCACCAGAGCTCTCTAACAGAGAAAGTTAAATGTCTTACAAAAGATCAGTTCCCAGAATTCCACAGCTCTGAGCCATGACAGTTAAAGTGGGGCGAAACTGGATTATTTCTGCAGTGCAGATGCAGCCCAGGTTGTTGTTGGATGATAATTTCTGGATGGTTTCACCATTATAGCCATTGGCGGGGGTGACAGGCTTTGGAGTCCATCTACACTTGGATGGCCACATGTTTTCCACCCCTGATGTAAAGTATTACAGCCTCAGTCATACAATTCAAACAAACAATTGGTTTTTCAAATCTTTGCTTCTGTGAGAAAGAAATGAAGAATTCTCTAAGAATGCATCTTCTAAATACAAATATCTAACAGTGGAGGCACATTGCTAAAAACAGATACCCTATAAAAAGAACAGATCAACAGTTTCAGTTTCTCACATGTGGTCTGCTTGGCTGGTATAGCTCACTGCAAACAATTTCTGTTTCATTTGTTTTACTGCTGAATGGAAAGAGCTGAGCACCTGGGTAACATATTCTTCATTGACACTCTTTTAACATCTGAAACTCATGAGAAATACAGTTTGGAAATGTGAACATGGAGCCCCTGGAACAGGAAAAAAACACCACACTACCTTTTGACTTCATTGTGCAATGCTGGCTATAATTCTCAAGAAAGAATGAAAACAGGTAATAATAGCTGCCATCTTCACAACTTACTTGTTCTGAATTAATTTCAGATTGATCAGAATATTTTGAAATAAGTGTGTTATTGTGAACAGGCAGAAGTTTCACAGTATTTTGTTTGAGCACTTGAATACCTGTATGTTTAATTCTGTGCCATATTTGGATGATTCCTTAGAAAGGTCAGTAGTCATTTAGAAATGTCAGTGTTTGTTTCCAAATCAGGTTGGTGGCACTTAAGGTACAATGGCAACAGGGCTGTCTCATTTTTCCTATTCCGTGTATCAAAATCAACAAGACTGGCTGCTGAATCTATATTCAACATTGATGATAGGACAGCATTGTCCACATCATCTGAAGGAAGCAGTAGATGCAGAAGTTTCTCCTCCAACCAAGCATCTGTCACCTCACTCTGCCTATGATGCAGCCATCCTTTCAGTCATCATTACATGGTAATACATTTTAGTTAAAATCCACTGCAATTTTATGGTGCACTTTTTCAGCCAAGAAAATTTTTGTAGCCAATGATAAGAAATCTGTTTCTCACATTTTCCTCTTCTTTATCTTAAGTTTTTGAGTTTTAAAACCTTGCTCTTATGTATCTTCAAGTCAACTCTGACCTATAGTGACCCTATCCTAGGGTTTTCTTGGCAAGACTTGGGGGGGATGTAGACCAGGGCGTCCAGGACGCCCTGGTCCGGAGCGCCGCGGGGCCATGGCAGCTGCACCACAGCACTCCTGCGGTGTCCCTGGAAGGAGCGCTAAATCAGCGCTCCTTCCTCAAGACAGCGAAAGTGCGCCCTAAACGCATAGGGCGCACTTTCGCTGTCTTTCCCACCGCAGCGCATGCGATCGCTGCGGCGGGAGGTTGCCCTGGAAGTGCCGGCCATGCGGAGGGCCAGCAGCTTCCAGGGTGACCTCAGGAAGAGGAAGGAGCGCCGCGCGTGCAGCTGCTCCTCCTCTTCCTGGGCTCGGAGACGACCCTTTTAGTCGTCTGCCGAGGCCCTTACTCAGAAGATGTTTACTATTGCTTTCCTCTAAGGCTATGATGTCCAGAGGCTGAGCAGGGATATGAACTCTGGTCTCTGTACACTTAGTTCAATCACACTGGCACTTAAAACCAAACCATCCCAAAGCCCAGAGTAAGCAACAAGAAATTTTAACAGTCAATGCAAAGTATTTTATGATACGTAATTTAAGTTATGGGGAAGAATGTAACAGATGTACAATCTCTCTACTAACTAAATCCACTAATAAAAAGACCACTAACAAATCATTAGATTCTTATATCCAGTTCAGGGATAGGACCAGTCCTACTATTAGGTAGAATGCAGAGAACGTAAAGAATATTTGTAACCATACTTGTTCTCGATGGGAAAGGGTGTCTTGACACACCAAGATATTCCATTGAAAAGAGATTTTTCACAAGCAAGTGAAACTGCCTTTTTTCATCACCAGCAACAAAAATGTAATTTTTACAGAAAAAAATGTGTGTTTTGCACAAAATACATTTTTGTAATTGTTTTTACAAAGAAGTCCTGAAAGGAAAAATAATTATATATATACCACTATATGAAAATATGACCCCCTTCCCTAGTATAATCTTGTCTAACCAAGAGAAGACTTAATATTTTGTTCTTGTATGCAAAAACAAACATTGGGGACTGAAATATATATTGAATGTTTCCAATCTGTAGCCATTCTTTTCTTTTTAATATTAGTTGACAGATTTTAGATATAGTTAGAGTAGAATCTGTCTCTGAAGATGAAAGTAGCTTTATTGGTATGAAATCTTTAAAGTGTTTGAAACAGTTTTATCTTTTCTTAACTGTATTAATTTTTTTAACAAGCAATCTATTTTAATATAATAATTTAATACTATTTTAATTTTTTCTGTTTTTAATTGTACTGTTCCTTTAATATTGTGAGTCCCTCTGGTTCTGGGGAAAGAGCAGGATACAAACAAATATAACAAGAAAAAAATATAATAATAATTTATCTGTTCTTGATTATTTCTCTCAAGTGGTCTGAATGCAGCTTGTACTAAATTTTCTAAAATTGTAGGTTCATCTTCAAATGGTTCTTCCTTGAATGAGTCTATCATCCATTCATCTCCTTTATATGATTCTTCAGTGCATTGTTTCCATCATCTTTTTATTTCTACATGGCTGTGTAATGTTTTCTCTTATTGATTTTTTATTGTTTTTTTATCATCCCCACTCTTGACTGAATTTCCCTTTGATTTCTTGGATCTTCAGGAAGACGTCTCCTGTTCTTTCTTTCTTTTTGCTGCAATTTATTTCTGTGCTTTGATTATTATAATAGTTTATAATAATAGTTCTCCTTGTCCCCTGTGAACAAGTCAATGAACAGGTATATTCAGGGTTTTGACACTATTTCTGTGTATTTAGTCTTAAACTCTAAAACAAACCACAGTCTTTTGCCACATCATAGCAAAATGAGATGAAGGAAACCATTTGATGTTTTGCATGTGGAAAATATGGTTTTGAGTTAAGCTTGACAAATGTTGTGGCACACTCATTTCTTTAAGAGTGATCCATAGTAAATATTTACTTCTTTATTTTCCACCGTTGAGTGTGACTGTTCCATTTAAGAACTGATAAGGACACTGGTTACACTCACCACATTAAAAACACTGATCAACACAGCCACTTGTCCATAACAGGGATTATCATGAGGCTCAAGTGCCAGACTCTGTGAGACATTGTGAGGGTAAAGGGACAAAGTGAGTCAATGATGGGAGCCCAAGAGTTTGAACTTTGTGTCCAGCCTAGTGAGGATTTCTATTATAGCAGGTAACATTCTTTGTCTATAAGGCAAAACTTGCTCTTGGTGTAATTGCATGGTATACACTGCCTCATCTTCTGATAAGGAAGGCATTCAGTCATCTAACACACTTTTTTCCTAGGGTTTTTCCCCCCATTGCAACACACCTCTTTTCTTCCCTGAGTTTTTCCATAAGTATTGTAATTTCAATTTTAGAAATATTTAAATCATATTGGCTGCAAAAAGCTAATTTTGTTATATTTTGGAATTTCCACAAGCATGTGAGGACCTAAGCTCACAGGGATTGCTGGAGTGGGGTTTGTTGACAGCCCTCCAGATGTCAAATGTCAAACAGCAGGCAAATTTTACTGAATCCAAAAATGATATTCTGTAAAGATTATTTTGTTAAGCACTTCACATTAACCACATCCTCAGCCTCAAATAAATCAATAATATGTTGCTGAACCAGGAAGAAACACAGGGATGTTCTCGTTACTCTGAAGGATAATATCATGTCACTTTAAAAGACTCTTTATCTTTGTGATTGTCAAGAGTCTGCCAGGCTTCCACAAAGCCACAGTTGTAGAGACAACCATCAGCTGCAGTGATTAAATTGATGTTTCTTTTTATCTGTTCAGAAGGTGATCAAAATGCCTGGCTAAATTTATGACAGGGTGTAGTGGCTGTGTTTGTTCACATAGCTTTGTCCCTAAGGGTGCTATGAATTAATACCCTTGTGAAAGGTCTGATGAAAGATAGGTTGATGCCTAAAGCAAGAATGCAAAGTCCCCCCTCCCGTCCCCCTTTCCCTAAGTATCCAGTGCTGGTCAAATTATTTTGACCCCTAGGCAATAATTCCCACATTTACAGCCTCCTCTCCCTAGCAATAAAAAAACAAAATTACAAAAATTAAATCACTGACCTTCCATGACATATAGTACAAGCAGATCAAGGCCTGAATCGTGCTGAATGATGAACAAAAACAAAGGTAAATTCCATTGATTCAGTGGATTTACTCTGTTCAGTAATAACAATAGGATTCTGGCCATTGGTCTTACTGGCTGAGACTTATAGGAATTGAAACCCAAACATGTGGATATCTAACTTTTGGTTCTTCCTGGTCTAGGGCAGCATTTTCTAACTAATCCCTTTTGGATGCTTTGAACTCCAACTCCCATCAGCCCTGGAATTTCCAAATGTCTGAGTGAAGGGAGTTAGTGACCCCTTGTTGGCCCTCCAAATCCATGGATTTTTTTATCCATGGATTCAAGCA